CAAGTATGTTAGAGAATAGAATACGAGGTTAGACTTTATAAAGTCAGTTGGCTACAAGTTTACCGCTTTAAACTGTGCTACATGTACTGTATAATAGTATACTGACGCTTAAAATATATATAAACTTTTAGTGCTGAACATTGACTTTTAATTGATATATGACCATGTGTGATTTTTTTCATTTTAAGTTGATACATTTGTAGTTTCATTTTAGTCATAAAGACTTATCCTGCTCGAAGTCCTACTTCCACCCAGTTGGTGAGTAAAAGGGGGAGGGGGGGGGTACATTAAAAATTTAAATGCGGAAACGTAAATAACCTTTAATAAAATCAATGTAAAAACAATGCGGAAAAGAGTACTATAAAAATGCGGAAACGTAAGAATTTTAATGCGGAAACTTAGTGCCAAAATGCGGAAACGTAAAACGCCGAATTGTATTATATGTCTCTGTCTTCATACAGTATCATGCCAAACGCCATTTTTAAAAAGAGGGGGTCCATGTTCTCGTTTTTAAGCTAATGGTTAAATCCCAAAAAGATGCATTTTTTCCCGATATTTCACAGTTTGACGTCGCGAAAAATAACATTTTACGGAAGCAAATAATCAATTAATGTGTCGATAAAAAGAACGCATTCTACAATATATAAAATTCTGTCAAATATCATTTCCTGGGTCAATATTATAAAGTTCATCCGAAAAAGTGATAAGACTGATAATAACATACTAATTCAATTTCATGCAATTAGGTTTTAATGCTAAAAGTTTTAGAAGAAAGAGTTAAATGTCTTCTTTAAAATATTTAGATTAATTCTGCGAAAACATCAGAGAGAGATAAAACAAAAATGCATGCAACCAATTGAATAAAATGGAGAATGGAAATAGAAAATGTGTCCGACAACAATCCGACCAGAGAGCAGAAAAGGCATATAAGGCACAAAATTTGCACCATAATTGAGTTACCTTGTTTTGTAACCCCCATTGACATAATGGTTACATTGGTTACAATGGTTACACTCATACAAACTATCATAAATCATATTATTCAGAAATTCTTTTTGGGGATCATTAATGTACGTCCAGTGGCATATATATAACATGCATGTCGGAACAGGAAAATTGACATAAGGTACTATTAGAACCATGTTCACATTATTATACATTAGACATATGTCTCTGATTATACCCAACAATTGTGATGATGACGAATTTCTTAAACTGTTCGAAATAATCTAACTGAAAGATAAATCTGTAATTTTACTTTGTCCATAACTTCGACGAACCAAATTAAAGCGAGTAATACTTCGACCTGTTTTAAAATCAGATTGGTTTTGAATGTTTCTCTCGTATATTCAATCTGTATATACATGTATATATTCTAAATTGAGACTATCTATTATTATTATAGTTCCATAACATTCTTTCAAGGCGTATAAACCAATGATCGACAAGTGCATTTTGTGAAATCATTTATAAAGTGTATGTTTCAAATGTCCATATCTATTGACAACGAGTATATACCCTTGGAAAATATGTAAATAGATTTTTATTTTATCAGATTTTTTGGGGGGAATTATTAAGATTTTCTTAAATATCATTCTTAACACCAGAAACGTTATTTATAAACAAGCGTATAAGTAATGACTATAGTATATCACTATCGGACACGCAAGACAAAGATGTATATTACACCTGATATTTTCAAAATGGAAAGTTACAAGTTATCGGCCGTGTACACTGATCAATACCCTCAGAGGTCAAGTGATGCACCAACTTGCTTTATGTAATTGTGTAATAAAAGTTTTAAAGTCCGACAGGAAATCGCTTGAATACCTGGACGTGTCACCTCACAATACATCTGGAAACAATTTCTTCAGCCATGCTGGTGATCAGATGAGGGAAGATCCGAATTTATTTAAAGAAGTTTACAAAACCGTTTTACATAGAGAAATTATGAACAAACTAGACTTTCGAAAACATTTCTACACGGAACACTTCTTTATGACTTTGAACTTTGACTTTTTAACTAATTTCCATTAATATGACTTTTTTCAAAAACTTAATAAAAAATTAGTTTCAAAACGATTCCTTATTTAAAATTTAAAAAATATGTTATTATTTTAATGTGGCACGCGCTCTTTTTGTGTGATGTCTAATCACCTTGTTAATTGATCCAATAAATCTTTAAGAAATAACTTCAAACTAAAAAAAAATAATTCTTGTGTTTTCGTAATTAGAAGAGATAAAGAGGTATTGATCTTAAAGTCATATGAAACCTCAAATTAAAAAATATGCATATGTTTTTTATAACAAAATGGATAGTTGTCATTATTAAACTTATGTACAAGTGTTCTACAAGTGCTCAATATCCATGCTTCTTTGTTGATTGATTTGTTTGACAAACACCATCAGATAATATAATATCTTGTATAAACTAAATTAACACATATAAGGTTCTGGTCTTATTAAAATAATGTCACTTAAGTCTCGAGAATTATTCGTGTATTTGGGCTTTTGAACTCCGCTGCATTTGTTTGCATCTGCCCTTACCTGCTGTTTAGTGGTTGTTGTTTGATTATGTATTTCAAAAGTCGAATATATAGACCGTTAGTTTTTCTGTTTGAATGGTTCTACACTGGTCATTTTGGGGCACCTTATAGCTTGCTGTTCGGTGTTAGCCAAGACTTTGTGTTGAAGGCAGTTGAGTAAAATTGTATAGTTTTACACGTATGAATTTAGTAATGACTAGCATAGCACTATCAGACTCAAGACAAACAGTGTTCATGTATATTTGGTATCCGGTATACGAGTACGGGGCGCATTTAAAACTGTTTAAGCTAAACGAAATTTAAATTTTCCAGGCGAATTAGACCAAAAAAAAAAGATATGTTTTAATGTGAATTTTTAAACGTTCGGGACGGAATTGGTTCAATTAAATTTGCTTAACGTACCGTGGCAAATATTATTGCATATTCTCGACGAAATTACATTTTTGATCAGACGATACCTTCATATAGATTAATGTTTGCGTACAATATCTATTGGCATTCATCAAACATGCTCATTTTGGTCCCTTTATTGGCTATTAAATAACTACCAGCTTTCTCGTTTTATTTCAAGCAAAATAATTTTTTTTTAATCACAGTCACTTTTTTTTTTATCTCAAGAGCTGCTGCGTGTTTACAAATAAAAAAAAGAAATAATTATACTTTTCGCTGCATTTTAAAAATCTGGCATCATTAACTATAAAAAACTTAGTTTACACATGTATTTGTCATTATTTAATTTTAATGTGAATATTTGTAAGAGGTACATTTTTACTTTTCTGACTAAAATCGATAACGCTAGCTCGGAACGGTTAAACGATAGATACACGCGGATGCTGTACCGCTTGAGTGATTTACCTTACAAAAAGGCGGACACTTTAAAGTTTAAAAGGACTTAACATCAGTTTGATTCCGTTTAACGGGGGCGTGGCTAATTAGTTTGACGCAGTTTAACCACATCTCAAATTAACTTGAATGACCGCAAGGGAATCTATTTGACTGGTATTAAAATGATTTGATATGGATTGAAATGCATCAAAAATAATTTTTAATTTTTGTCAATCTTTATTCAATTTTCATTAATCTTTTTTAAATGCCGTTAATGCGTTTTTGTCCGTTCAAGCTAAATTCGAGTTACTAGTGTATACTATACAAATTTCTCAATGTTCACTTCCTGCACGTTTTCCTCCCTCAGCTCATTACTGATGACCTTTGTTTTGTGACAATTTACCCAAACTGGAAGTTGTCTAAATGACTTTTTTTTCCCGGAATGGACTAAATAGAGATAAGTTGTACTGGTAAGAGCGCTGACTTTAATTCTCAAGGTTGCGGGTGCAAAAACAAAATTCCACACAAAACATTCATGGAATTTCACTTCAATGACTCTAAAAGCAACTACTACAAGCACATTATAAAGGTGTGTATGTGGCAGTTTGTATGTGGCTCAATTCTGAAACGGCTGAATGTCATTTACTCTGTATTAATTTATTTTCGGGGGTACCATTTTTTGTGGATTGAGGAAAACTTGCATTGTTATTAACATTTGATTCCGTGGTTTTTCATGTGTCTGCATGCAAGCCTATAAAAAATGTGTAATTCCTTGAAAATTTAAATTCTTGGTTCACCTGTACCCAAGAAACCTATGAAAATTGGTATCCAAAGAATAATAATGAATCAGCAGGAACTATTAATATAAGATATGAGGGTCCATTTCTCCAGGACTGATCTCCTTTTTACACACACACCAGTCATTCAATTTAAGGCTGTTTTGTTAGACTTTTTTGTTTTAATGCCCTCAAACATTTTTAAGCTCACCTGGCCGAAAGGCCAAGTAAGCTTTTCTCATGACTTGGTGTCCGCCTTCCATCTTCATCGTAGTCCATTAAGTTAAAACTATAAAAATATTCTCTTCTGAAACTGCTAGGCTAAATTTAACCAAGCTTGGCCACAATCGTTATTGGGGTATCTAATGATGATTTTTACTAAAAAGTAGCCATTGTTGCAGATGAACGACACAGGCTCTTTAGAGCCTCTAGTTTTAATTTTGTCTTCCTTACTTTATACTTTTTAGGTTATTCAAGAAACACATGCGATGCTAACAGGGCGTTTTTCATTTTTTTTTCTGTGTACACTTAAACATTTCTTGTCATGTTTGTGAAAAGGATTGCCTCTGTTTAATAAAATTTCGGGGTGGCTTAATTGCAAACTTTTACACTGATTTTTAAACATTGGTTATTCTATTCCAAGGTATAGATTACCTTAGCTTTATTTGGAATTTTTTTTTTTAATTTTCGGTTTTTAATGCTCTTCAACTTCGTATTTGATTTGGTCTTCCAACTGTTTTAATTCCAGCTTTATTGATGAATCTTATATAGACGAAATGCACGTCTTATGTACAAGATTATAAGCCTGGTATTTTTGATGGGTTTTTAATTGATGACTTACATTATCTTTCAGATCCCCAACAGCATGTTTTACCGAGACTCTGGTGTGGTATGGGAGATGGAAAAATCAAAATATTTGATGCAATGGCATGGAACTTAGAATCACACTTTATACAGACGAAAACTGCTGTGGTAAATACCGGTATATGAAAATCAGAAAATGTGGTATGATTGCCAATGAGACAACTCTCTACCAGAGATCAAATGATGTAGAAATTAACATTTATGGGTCCCCAAATGTCCTCAACAATGAACAAAAGCTACACTGCATAGTAAGCTTTAAAAGGTCCTGAAATGACAATTAAGTATTTATATAGGCAGTTCATGAAGTAGCTGTTGACGTTTAGGCCTTTCATTTTGTTGAGATATTTATTTAAAATAAAGATGGCATGAATCACAACATCATATTTGATTCCTTAATGTAAAATCTTTAGTGGCATGAGTAAATATGTTAAACTGTGTTGATAATGAACTTATTAATGACCATTGAAGGTTTACATACAGGATTTGTACTTCTTCAACACCTACTATAAAACAGCCGACATGGGGTAACTGGCATATTTCAATTAGTTAAGAACATTTAAAATACATAATAAACCTGTATATTATACCTTTAATGTATTTGAAAAAAGTTATCTCAAGAAATAGATCTAGACATAGATTCTGTGCTGTTCAGGGTTGTCAAAAAATTAACAATGTCCTGAGGTTAAGGTTGTCTCAAACTTGCCAAACCCTGTTTGAATACTGACACAAAATCACTACATGCAAATGAATAGACCAGACATCAAGGAAAAGCTCTTTTATTGCTTCTATTTACTTCCAATTTTTCGTCTACGGGCTGTTCCACAGTTATTGGGTGTACGCTCAAATCTATTAAATATGAGTAGTTGCATTTTCCAAAGAATTTGCTAAGAACTATAAGTAGAATGAAGTTGTGTAAAAAAGTAACAACCATCACCCCTCACCCCCATGCACTTAAGTTTGGAACAGCCCTAAGTGTAATTCATTATTACATTGTAGATGTGTTTGGCTGATGTTGGTGGGAAACAAATTTGGGCAGGATCTTATTATATCTACATCATTGATGTACAAACCCTGAGATGTAACAGAGCTCCACTGACCGACCATGCTGACTCAGTTGTCAGTATTGTTGTTGTTAATGATGGCAGGTAAGGGGAAGTAACTGTCTAAAAGACTCATCACTCTTTCATAATATAAAACCAATTTAAAAGCTATTGAAAATATAAGAAAACATGATTTAGAAGAAAACATGGTTTAATTTGGTGCCTGGCTTTAAAAAGGCACAGTACTTGATAAACAAATCAAAATTGAAGAGTTACCTTAATTTTTACAGGAGTTATGGGATTTTGAACATTGTATTTGTCTCGCCTTGACGGAGTCAAAAAGCGAAACATAGGTATGCTGTTTTCGGCGCGGCAGCCGCGTCAACAATGTATTAGTTTGTGATAAGGTCTAGGTTATGGTGATCCACTAGTGGTAGGTCGATGATATTTGGTATGCAGTTGTATTAGGATTGGCATATCTCATTTCCATGGAGATTAATTGGCCTTGCCCCCTCACTCATGGTCTATTGACTTTGAAACTTTTGTTTGGTTTACATGTATTTGTTTGTGATTAGGTCAGTTCATGGGGAACCACTAGTGGTAGACCAATGTTAATTGGTATGCAGTTGTATAAGCATTGGCATATCTCATTTCCATGGGAATTATTTGGCTCCGCCCCCACAGTCATGGTTTATTGACTTTGAAAAATTTGCTTAGTTTACATGTATTAGTTTGTGATTAGGTCAGTTCAAGGGAAACCATTAGTGGTAGGCCAATGTTAATTGGTATGCAGTTGTATAAACATTAGCACATCTCATTTCCATGGTGAATATTTTGCTCCGCCCTCTCAGTCATAGTCTATTAACTTTGAAACTTTTGCTTAGTTTACATGTATCAGTTTGTGATTAGATCAGTTTAAGATGAACCGCTAATGTTAAGTCAATGATATTTGGTATGCAAATTTATGGGCATTTGTAAGTCTCGTTTCCACGGAGATTATATAGCCCCACCGGCCCACCCCCTCATCATGGTTCATTGACTTTGAAACTTAAACATAGTTTACATTTTAATGTTTGTGTTTAGGTTTGTTTAAAGGGAACTACTTAGGGCTATTCCATTAAAATGTATGTGGGAGGGTAGGAAGGGACTTTCAAAATATCCCTACAACCAAGAACCATTTTTTAGATAATTTTGCATAATGGTAATAGACGCATACTGAAAAAAGACCCATGACCCACATTCAATAGTTAAACTTCCCTTCCTACCCTCCCACATACATTTTAATGGAATAGCCCTTATGATAAGCCAATGGTATTTGGTATGCAGTTGTATTAGCATTGGCACATCTCATTTCCATGAGAGATTGTTTAGCCATGTACCTTCTGTCATGGTTCATTGACTGAATATTTGCATAACTTACATGTTAAAGTATTGCTATTTCAATTTCAACATTTGCATCATCAAAATTACAAAAAGGCGAGACATATCTTTGTGTTAACAGTTTATTTGATATTCTAACAATGACACCTTGTGAACGCAACTTCCATGAGACATTTTAACAGAAAGCTCTCATACTTAGTAGGACTGTTTGCCATCATGTGTAGTTGACCATGCATATTGTACCTCATTTTGATTCAAATATTTTTTGGGGTATTGTAACTATATAACTTTTTTGCAAACCCAACACCTCTGAAATTGTTTCACAGAAAGCTCTCATACTTACTTGGTAGGATTATTTTCCATTATATGTGGTTAACAATATTGCACCCCATCTAAATATAATTTTGAAATGACCGTTTTTTACAGGAGTTCTGGTACTTAGACACTGTTCTACAAAAAGCCCTTAAACTTTGTAGTATTGTTTGCCATCATGTGTAGTTGACCACAGGATACCATCATTTTAATTTGGGCCTTTTTATGGGAGTAATTTATTTCCTCATTTATACAACAGGGGACATTTTGCCACGGAATAGCATATCTTTGTTTTAATGTATATATGTAGGTATTTATACTCAGCCAGTATATTGATGTTTAAAATATATATTATTTTAGATCTGAAGAGACATTAATTGTCGAAATGTGGATATGGTGTACAAATTTTTTCACCTCATCTTTTCAGCAAGTTTATTGTTTTCTGTTTGATATTAAATTTTGTTACATCTGGTGATCCATTTATTTGGCAATCGCCATGGCAGTCAGCAGGGTTTAAGAAAATTCGTTGTTCGACCTGCTAGCTATAGTCAAATGTGTTTTGTTAAATTACACTTTTTCACTTTTTTGGTCTTTTGGAAAATGTAGTTTGTGCTGTATTTAGACCCCTCTACCAAGAATTTTTATATGCCCGTCAATTTTTGACGGGACGTATTATGGTATACAGATGTCCGCTGTCCGTCCGTCCGTCCGTCTGTCCGTCTGTCTGTCCGGCGTAAACATGTCGCACCGTAACATCAGAACGACTTATCCAAATTTTATGAAACTTAACATAGTTGTTTCTCATGATGGTCAAACGATCTGTATACTTCTTGGTGAAAATAAGATTAAAACTTTTTGAGTTATGGGACTTAGTAACTAAAACAGGTGTGTGTTTTGTTTTCACATGTCGCGCCGTATCTCAAAAACAATTTATGATTATTGCTTAAAACTTTACACACTTCTTAGTTATATTAATCTTAAGATCTGTATACTTTTTGGTGATGATTCAAAATTTTATTTTAGAGATATTGAGTATTTTGTTAAAAAAGGGGGAGGGGTTTTTCCACATGTCGCGCCGTATCTCAAAACAGTTTATGATTATTGCTTAAAACTTTACACACTTCATAGTTATATTAATCTTAAGATCTGTATACTTTTTGGTGATGATTCAAAATTTTGTTTTTGAGTTATTGAGTATTTTGTAAAAAAAGGGGGAGGGGTTTTTCACATGTCGCGCCGTATCTCAAAAACGATGTATGATTATTGCTTTAAATTTTACACACTTCTTAGTTATATTAATCTAAAGATCTGTATACTTTTTGGTTTTGATTCAAAAGTTTATTTTTGAGATATTGATTTTTTTTTTTTTTAAAGGGGGGTTTTCACACGTTGCTCAAAAACGATTATGATTATTGCTTAAAATTTTACACACTTCTTAGTTATATTAATCTAAAGATCTGTATACTTTTTGGTTTTGATTCAAAATTTTATTTTAGAGAGTTTTTTGTAAAAAAAAGGGGGTTTTCGCATGTCAGGCCGTATGTCAGAAACTATTTATGATTATTGAATAACAATTCACACACAAGACGACGGGCGTATCATGCGCTCATGGCGCAGCTGTTTATTTTTTTTGCATGCACATGTATAAAAATTGCGGTTTTTATCCAGCGCAATCATAGGTTTGAACGTTGTTTTCAATTTAGACTTGTTTTTTTTAGATATGTATACACAGCCAGTGCTGATGGTGACATTCTGAAGTGGGATGTACAGACAATTACAGTCGTAGATAAATGCAGTGAGAAAATCAAAGATCTGAGGAGGCTCAAATTCTGTAATGGTTTCTTATGGTGTGGTAAGTGGCTTTTCATTAGGAAAACTTAAATAAATGGAGAATACTGTAAATTCAGAAATCAATGTGTGCATTCATTTTTGTAAATTAAGAAAAATGAACAAAAATGCAATATTGATTATTGCAATTTAAGAAAAATAATTTGCATACAGATTTTGTATCAGAAATTAAAAAATTAAAAAATTACCAAAATAAAAAATTAAAAAAAATGTCCAAAAAAAAAAAAAATAAAAAAAAATAAAATGTCAAAAAAAACAAAAACAAAAAAAAATATAAAAAATAAAAAATAAATAAATTTTGTAAAAAAATTAAAATTTTTTTTTTTTTTATCTGAATTTCCCCAAAATAAAGAAAAAAGTATATGACAATACGCAGCAACATCAACGTCGAAAAAATATTACACTAGAAATTTTTCATTAGCATTTTTCAATTTTACATCCCGGTTTAAAAATGAGTAAAGGAATTGTTCATAAGAAATAAATTCGTTATCTTGGTGTAATCAGGGGTGTACGGAATTTTACACTGTTGTTGAAAATTCATACACCCATTCGGCTGCGCCTCAGGGTGTTTTCAACAACGGTGTAAAATTCTGTACACCCCTGATTACACCAAGATAACTAATATTATTATTGTGATACTCACCTAAAAGCATCACAATAATTTCTGAATTTACATTATTTAATCTTGTGCTATGTCGATATTTTACCCCTATATCTATGATACCATGGTAGGGGTCTGTAGTTAAGCCTTATATCCATGAACACATGATAAGGGTCTGTAGGTACGTCTTATATCCATGAAAACAAATGCATATTGGTTTTCTGCACCAAGTTGGGCATCATCAAAATATGTTCAGTAAAAGTAAGAAATATTGTTTAAAGATTTCGTCAATAAACCAAAATATTGCCACAATGTGGTCTTCATTAAAGCTACTAAAAAAATTAATTCCCCTTGGTTAAAAAATGGCGTTGATCACAGTACATGTGAATAGACTGAAATTTTGGGAAATGTTCAAGTCTTTATCCATCTTTGGTGGATCATACTTTGGGATAAATAACTTAGATCTTTGGTGGATCACTTGGTCAAAAGTTAGTTTTACTGCAGTTTTTTTTCTAAAATGAGTATATCCCTTAGCCCAAGTATCAGCTATTGGCAGTATTTGACATAAAATGTTAGCAGCCTTTAAACCATCATCACCAAAACAAGCAAAATACAAATTATCCAACCAACTTCTACTTTAAATCCGTATAGTAACTCGGCTAATGCGCCTACAATGTGTTCAGAACTTACTTAATAAATAGTTATCAAAGGTACCAGGCTTATAACTTGATACGCCAGACGCACGTTTCGTCTACATAAGACTCATCGGTGACACTCAGATCAAAATAGTTAGAAATGCCAGTCTTGGTGGTCTCAGGGTAGCCAGCTAACCTATAATGTGTCGTTGGTTTCAACCTAGGCCAGGTCAGGCTAGAGACTTGACAAGTTGACGCTTGATATTAGCTGCTTCTCCTTTTAAGGTTTTGCGTGTATTTAAAATACTAGAACTTGTATTAAGGTGCAAAAACTCCAACATCATGTTCTCAAAATTCAAAATTTCTGTTTAAAAGATGAATTTAAATTGTTGATGTCTAAGCAATATCCTGTCATCAGGATTAGGAATAAGGTTGCCAAGTTCTTAAGGGGCTGTAAAAATTAGACTCCAGTAGAAATATTCTGTATGAAAGATAGATTGTAATTGATATCATGATTATAGGGACCAAGGTTGCTGTGTACAGGATAGACTTGAGTATGAATTTGTTACAGAAATATCCAGTTATTGTTCAGAGATCGAGTCAAGCTGACATATCTCGGGAAGTATCTCCAGAAATTGATAGTTTCCATATAAGTGAGAGTGGAGAGGTAATTTTAACTAATAGCAAAGATTTATTAGGTGAGAACATATAACCTGAGGTCAAATGCAAGTTGGTAACATCCCTTGGTGTCTGTTCACAATCTACAATTTTTCGGAAAAGAAATTCCCACAAATCAATGTTGCTACCATAACCAAATGTGTTTTCAGTAATGCCATCCACCAAAATCTTAATAAAACTCTTATCCTCAAGTCCAGTTCTTTCCTTTGTCCAATAAATCAGTTCATATCATTAACAAAAGATTTAATACATGGACCTACCGACATACGAAATTACAGGCCAGTATTTTATGTTAATGATTTTCTCTGTAGCTAGTAAGCCAAGGACTGTTAATTACCTAAATGTTAATTAGTCCTTGATGTAAATATCAAAGTTAAAATCAGATAAACTCATTTGTTTTACTCTTAAAATCATTTCCTCCTAAGTAATAAGTCCATCTAAGCTAATATACAAATAAGAAGTGGTATGATTGTCAATGAGACAACTCTCAACCAGAGACCAAATGACATAGAAGTTAGCAACTATAGGTTACTGTACACTCTTCAACAATGAGCAAAACCAATCCTACAAAAACCAGCCTAGCAAGCTATAAAAGAGATCATGCTTTCATATTACTGTTAATCAGATTGTGCACAGCTTATGCACAGATGTTAGTTGAGCATTTTAGTCTCCATAGAACCTAATATTAATGTGACTTTTATTATTGTTTAGCTCAGTATTCTGTAAAAACAATATTAACTCTTAATTTTTAAGGTTTTTGATATTTTATTACTGGACACAAACTTAAGATGACCTTAAAAATTCTTTGTTAAACATCTCTTTATAGCAAATATAGTATGATATTGTATACAGGGAAACACTGTGCAAACTGAACTTATATGACGGTTAGTTTTTGTTGTAAGGTTAGATTTACCTCCATGTACTAAAACATTGTTTTTATGCCCCACCTACAATAGTAGAGGGCATTATGTTTTTCGGTCTGTGTATCTGTTTGTTCGTCTGTCAGTCTGTCCTGCTTCAGGTTAAAGTTTTTGATCAAGGTAGTTTTTGTTGAAGTTGAAGTCCAATCAACTTGAAACTGAGTACAAATGTTCCCCATGATATGATGTTTTTAATTTTAATGCCAAATTACAGTTTTGACCCCAATTTCATGGTCCACTGAACGTAGAAAATGATAGTGCTAGTGGGGCATCCATATTCTATGGACAAATTCTTGTTTAATGTTTTAGTACAAATTAAACTAAAGGAATGATTTCTCATCCTTCTGTGATTGTAGATATGGGCTGGCTATAGAAGTTCTGGTATTATATTGATATGTGATTTCTTATCCTTCTGTGATTGTAGATATGGGCTGGCTATAGATGGTCTGGTATTATATTGATATGTGATATCTTATCCCTCTGTGATTGTAGATATGGGCTGGCTATAGATGGTCTGGTATTATATTGATATGTGATATCTTATCCTTCTGTGATTGTAGATATGGGCTGGCTATAGACTGTCTGGTATTATATTGATATGTGATATGTTTTCCTTCTGTGATTGTAGATATGGGCTGGCTATAGACGTTCTGGTATTATATTGATATGTGATATCTTACCCTTCTGTGATTGTAGATATGGGCTGGCTATAGACTGTCTGGTATTACATTTATATGTAGACGTTTTGTATTATATTGATATGTGATATCTTATCTTTCTGTGATTGTAGATATGAGCTGGCTATAGATGGTCTGGTATTATATTGATATGTGATATCTTACCCTTCTGTGATTGTAGATATGGGCAGGCTATAGAAGTTCTGGTATTATATTGATATGTGATATCTTATCCTTCTGTGATTGTAGATATGGGCTGGCTATAGACGTTCTGGTATTATATTGATATGTGATATCTTACCTTTCTGTGATTGTAGATATGGGCTGGCTATAGACGGTCTGGTATTATATTGATATGTGGTATCTTATCCTTCTGTGATTGTAGATATGGGCTGGCTATAGATGTTCTGGTATTATATTGATATGTGATATCTTATCCCTCTGTGATTGTAGATATGGGCAGACTATAGACAGTCTGGTATTATATTGATATGTGATATCTTACCTTTCTGTGTTTGTAGATATGGGCTGGCTATAGACTGTCTGGTATTACATTTATATGTAGACGTTCTGGTATTATATTGATATGTGATATGTTTTCCTTCTGTGATTGTAGATATGGGCTGGCTATAGACGTTCTGGTATTATATTGATATGTGATATCTTACCCTTCTGTGATTGTAGATATGGGCTGGCTATAGACTGTCTGGTATTACATTTATATGTAGACGTTCTGGTATTATATTGATATGTGATATCTTATCTTTCTGTGATTGTAGATATGAGCTGGCTATAGATGGTCTGGTATTATATTGATATGTGATATCTTACCCTTCTGTGATTGTAGATATGGGCAGGCTATAGAAGTTCTGGTATTATATTGATATGTGATATCTTATCCTTCTGTGATTGTAGATATGGGCTGGCTATAGACGTTCTGGTATTCTATTGATATGTGATATCTTACCTTTCTGTGATTGTAGATATGGGCTGGCTATAGACGGTCTGGTATTATATTGATATGTGATATCTTATCCTTCTGTGATTGTAGATATGGGCTGGCTATAGATGTTCTGGTATTATATTGACACTACAAACCAGTAAAAGTCTGAAATGGCCTATATCTGTACTCGACTGTACTGATTTTTACTCGACCAGTCTGAATTGGTCTGAAATTTACTTAATAAGACTCGACTGCAATCTGAACTATACTTAACCATTTTATACGCATCTGAACCATGCTCGACCTAGTCTGAACCATACTCGACCTAGTCTGAACCATACTCGACCTAGTCTGAACCATACTCGACCTAGTCTGAACCATACTCGACCAATTCTTAACCAACCTAGACCTATTTTTTGTATCTATCTATTGTATTTTATCAATTTAGGAACTGTTTTTAATAACAGCTATATCCCCTGGATAGAAATTAAACAATTTGAAATTAAAAGTGTAAATAATATGGCATTGAAACCAAAATTTCACAATAAACATAATATAACTTCAACACTTACATATATATTTCCCCTTTAAAATTAAAAAAAAACAAGCTGATCAAAAAGTCTCAAAACTTTATTGTGACTAATATTTTCAATGTTATTCAAATTGTTTTGAATGTTTCAGATATATTTAATGGTTACTGGACAATTTTCACCATTAATTTAAGTCTAGTATAGATTTATGGTGTCAGTTGAGTTTAGTTAATAATGCAGTGAACATTTTTTTTTTTATCAAAATATATATAAAATAGTATATAAATCAACTTAATAAATTTAAAAAATGACACCTTTGTTTTGTAAAACCAAGAATTTAATATAATCATGATAATAGAACTTCCATAGCAATCCTTGATAACCTTTTAAAAAAAGAAATGTGTTCCAAAGTTGCAGTAAAAATTTATTTCAATTAAATTTAAATAACTTTTGTCAAAATTAAAGACATGCCATACAAGAAGCACTTTAATAAGGTTTAATTACCTCAGTACATGTGTGTTTTACAGGTAAAAAGAAAGCCCTATTTTTCTTAAACTCGTGTATTACTTATCTAGTGAATTCAAAAGGCCTTGCAATTTAAGTTTTACAGGATGTTGCAATTTTGAATGAATGTTATTAAGAATTTATTACTCTCTGACCAGGTGTGATCTTTTTAATGAGTTTGCCCCAAGCAGGAGGTATTACTTTATACTTTACCACTAATCAAAAGAACAATTTTATTCATTTCTTTAATTTTTCATCCCAATTTGATATATATTATATATAATATATCCCAAATTATAATAAGAATAGATATATTTCTAATATAAGGTTAAACAATTTCAGTGATTTTGTTGGCTGTTGTTACCTCATTTAAAAGATAATTATATGACTATTGTATGTAACCATAAAACCTATGTAGTTTTTATTTAGGAATTTAGGAAAATTAATTTAAAAAAAAAAACACATGCCAAACAAGAAGCACCTTAATAAGGTTTTATTAACCTCAGTTAGGTGTGGTTTTTTGGTAAAAGAAAATCTTTTTTTTAACAAAACTCTAAAACTTTAAAATTAATATAATTAAATTATTATATAAGATAATTGATTTAACTATCTCTTTTTGATAAATCTGAGAATCATGTAAGGATGTAAAAATCTGTTTTTATATATATCTTTATTTTATTGTGGCTGTTGTCATGTCAGTTAAAAAGAAATTTATTTTAACAGTTAAAATTAAAAAAGTAGAGGTTATTTGGTCAAGTATGGTTCAGACTGGTCGAGTATTGATCAGACCTTTGGTCGAGTATGGTTTAGACTGAAAAAATAGGTCGAGTACAGGTCAAGAATGGGTTAAGACTGTTTCAGACTGGTCGAGTAATAGTTCAGACTATTTTCAATGGCAAAGATAAGGGTCAAGAACAAATCAGTACAGTCGAGTATGGTTAAGACTGGGGTCAAGTAATGTCAAGTAAAATTCAGACCAATTCAGACTGGTCGAGTAAAAATCAGTACAGTCGAGTACAGATATAGGCCATTTCAGACTTTTACTGGTTTGTAGTGTGATATGTGATATCTTATCCCTCTGTGATTGTAGATATGGGCAGACTATAGACAGTCTGGTATTATATTGATATGTGATATCTTACCTTTCTGTGTTTGTAGATATGGGATGGCTAAAGACGGTCTGGTATTATATTGATATGTGATATCTTATTCCTCTGTGATTGTAGATATGGGCTGGCTATAGACAGTCTGGTATTATATTGATATGTGATATCTTATCCTTCTGTGATTGTAGATATGGGATGGCTATAGGCGGTCTGGTATTATATTGATATGTGATATCTTATCCTTCTGTGATTGTAGATATGGGCTGGCTATAGAAGTTCTGGTATTATATTGATATGTGATATCTTATCCTTCTGTGATCATAGATATGGGCTGGCTATAGATGGTCTGGTATTATATTGATATGTGATATCTAATCCCTCTGTGATTGTAGATATGGGCTGGCTATAGATGGTCTGGTATTATATTGATATGTGATATCTTATCCCTCTGTGATTGTAGATATGGGCAGGCTATAGACGGTCTGGTATTATATTGATATGTGATATCTTACCTTTCTGTGATTGTAGATATGGGATGGCTAAAGACGTTCTGGTATTAGGTCCGCTACACAGTTATCGTCTTTTGATTTTCGTTGTCCACGAATATAGTCCCTAGTGTGGACAGTGTGTTACTTGTTGATTTTTTTTATACCCCTTCCAAATTTATTTCTCCATGTTTTATGACTCAAATAGTAAGTAGGGGGGTGAAATGACACTGTAAAAAAATTTGGGTCATGAATTTTAAAGTAAAGTAGTGATTTGGTCCAGCTGAAAAATGTTAAAAATTAGCACTTCGGAAGCTGTCAAAAGATTTGAAGACCCCCTTAACATGAAATTGTCCATATTTTGAGTTAGAGCCGATGAAGTTTTCTATAATTGTGATATAATTTGTCCCAAAAGTAGTACAGCACACTGTAAAAATATCATTGAGAAAGCGCAGGTGGAATTTTTTAAAATTCATTTATTGTCTAAAAGAAATGCACTACGAAATAACTGTGTACTCGGACCTAAGAGGTGAAATCAGGAAATATAGAATCTGTACTTTGGCAACTTCCCTGAATGATTTGATGGTGTCAATTTATCAAATAGCATAAAACTAAAGGATTTAAACTTTTATTTGATAGAATTTCTGCAAAAATGACCAATTTTGGCATTTTATGGTCAAAATAAGCATTTCATAGCTTTTTCAATTTTGATGCATAAGTGGCATTCTGACTTTCTATCTGACAGGTTTTTATGTGTCAATATTTGTGTTTCTATGCTTCAATCCAGTTGTATTACTCATTTGTGAACTCTGAATCTACAGAAAAGAAGGTTATCTCGGACAATATGTGCAAAATGTGTTGTATATATGATCCTCGTCTAACGCCCTGTTTGGATCAAGTTAAATGTGAGGAGCTTGGAACATAAAAGTTGAAGTCCATTATAAAGACCTAACTAAATTTGTATAAAAAGCACTTAACAATGTCTTTTGTACCTGTTTTATGTCACAAAATATCTTTCTTTTCTTCTGTAGGATAGCAAGTGGTTCAAATATAAGCCTGTTGAGACTAAAATTGCATGCATGTTTTTCACTAAAAAGTGAAAAATCTTTGTAACAGACCATACTGTCTGCAAAAAAAGTTGAATGCAAGAGTCTTTTTGTGCTCAGATTTATTGTATCATGTCACCTGAGTATAGAAATGATAGAAAAGACACAAAATTTTATTTCCTATAGCTTCAATATGCATTTTTAAATGTAAATATGTGATACGGCCTAAATTGACCCTAAATTATTTTCAGTCTTACTTGGCCTAAGACCCTTTTAAACTAATGTGATATGTTATTTGTAAGTTTTCTTTCCATTTAAAGTACATTGAATACATATGTAAGGATTATTTATAACCAAAAAGCTTTACAAATTTAAAATTGCTGGAAAATATTACATCTTCATGTAAGGCCCCCCTTCATTGAAAAACCTCCATTTTTAGCCACAGGCTCATATAAATTTGACTTTTTAATAATTATGATTAGTCTGATAAATCAAATGAGTACTCTATTGCTTTTAATACATAATATATTATATATTAAGGCATTTCAAAAGTATTTTTTTGCAATATTTAAATTTTTTAAGCCCCAAATGTTGATAGTTGAAAATTTTCAATTTTAACGTCTAAATTTAATACGCAAAGTTGAATATAGAATTAGTCATATTGTCTATAATATAAATCCTATTGCCATGAAACTTTGTAAGCAGTTTTATAATTTAATAAGCTTTGGTCATACCAAGTTTCATTAAGATTGGTCAACTTTTTCTACCCTATTAGGTCGGGTACACAGTTATCGTCCTTTGATTTTCGTTGTCCACGAATATAGTCCCTAGTGTGGACAGTGTGTTACTTGTCGATTTTTTTTATACCCCTTCCAAATTTATTTCTCCATGTTTTATGACTCAAAAAGTAAGTAGGGGGGTGAAATGACACTGTAAAAAAATTTAGGTCATGAATTTTAAAGTAAAGTAGTGATTTGGTCCAGCTGAAAAATGTTAAAAATTAGCGCTTCGGAAGCTGTCAAAAGATTTGAAGACCCCCTTAACATGAAATTGTCCATATTTTGAGTTAGAGCCGATGAAGTTTTCTATAATTTTGATATAATTTGTCCCAAAAGTAGTACAACACACTGTAAAAATATTATTGAGAAAGTGCAGGTGGGATTTTTTAAATTTTCATTTATTGTCTAAAAGAAATGCACTACGAAATAACTGTGAACTCGGACCATTATATTGATATGTGATATCTTATCCTTTTGTGATTGTAGATATGGGCTGGCTATAGAAGTTCTGGTATTATATTGATATGTGATATCTTATCCCTCTGTGATTGTAGATATGGGCTGGCTATAGACGGTCTGGTATTATATTGATATGTGATATCTTATCCTTCTGTGATTGTAGATATGGGATGGCTATAGGCGGTCTGGTATTATATTGATATGTGATATCTTATCCTTCTGTGATTGTAGATATGGGCTGGCTATAGAAGTTCTGGTATTATATTGATATGTGATATCTTATCCTTCTGTGATCATAGATATGGGCTGGCTATAGATGGTCTGGTATTATATTGATATGTGATATCTTATCCCTCTGTGATTGTAGATATGGGCTGGCTATAGATGGTCTGGTATTATATTGATATTTGATATCTTATCCATCTGTGATTGTAGATATGGGCAGGCTATAGACGGTCTGGTATTATATTGATATGTGATATCTTACCTTTCTGTGATTGTAGATATGGGATGGCTAACGATGTTCTGGTATTAGGTCCGGGTACACAGTTATCATCCTTTGATTTTCGTTGTCCAAGAATATAGTCCCTAGTGTGGACAGTGTGTTACTTGTCGATTTTTTTTATACCCCTTCCAAATTTATTTCTCCATGTTTTATGACTCAAATAGTAAGTAGGGGGGTGAAATGACACTGTAAAAAAATTTGGGTCATGAATTTTAAAGTAAAGTAGTGATTTGGTCCAGCTGAAAAATGTTAAAAATTAGCACTTCGGAAGATGTCAAAAGATTTGAAGACCCCCTTAACATGAAATTGTCCATATTTTGAGTTAGAGCCGATGAAGTTTTCTATAATTTTGATATAATTTGTCCCAAAAGTAGTACAACACACTGTAAAAATATTATTGAGAAAGCGCAGGTGGGATTTTTTAAATTTTCATTTATTGTCTAAAAGAAATGCACTACGAAATAACTGTGTACTCGGACCATTATATTGATATGTGATATCTTATCCTTCTGTGATTGTAGATATGGCCTGGCTATAGAAGTTCTGGTATTATATTGATATGTGATATCTTATCCCTCTGTGATTGTAGATATGGGCTGGCTATAGATGGTCTGGTATTATATTGATATGTGATATCTTATCCTTCTGTGATTGTAGATATGGGCTGGCTATAGAAGTTCTGGTATTATATTGATATGTGATATCTTATCCTTCTGGGATTGTAGATATGGGCTGGCTATAGGCAGTCTGGTATTTTATTGATATGTGATATCTTACCCTTCTGTGATTGTAGATATGGGCTGGCTATAGACGTTCTGGTATTATATTGATATGTGATATCTTATCCTTCTGTGATTGTAGATATGGGCTGGCTATAGAAGTTCTGGTATTATATTGATATGTGATATCTTATCCTTCTGTGATTGTAGATATGGGATGGCTATAGAAGTTCTGGTATTATTTTGATATGTGATATCTCAGCCTTCTGTGATTGTAGATATGGGCAGGCTGTAGACATTCTGGTATTATATTGATATGTGATATCTTATCCTTCTGTGATTGTAGATATGGGCTGGCTATAGACGGTCTGGTATTATATTGATATGTGATATCTTATCCTTCTGTGATTGTAGATATGGGCTGGCTATAGACGTTCTGGTATTATATTGATATGTGATATCTTACCCTTCTGTGATTGTAGATATGGGCTGGCTATAGACGGTCTGGTATTATTTTGATATGGGACAGCACACGAGGGAAACTGAAAGAAATAATAGAATTACAGAAATGTGAAGGAATAAGTTCTATAGTACAACAGGAACAAAAGGTTTGTTACAAGGCTGAATTTACTTAAGGAAAAAGATCGTATATTTTATAACTTCATATAGATCTTGTACAACAAGTTACAAAAACTAAAACCTCATGAAAGATACTAGGTGCTTAGTTTAGTATGCTAAGAACACCTTATATCTTCATTCGTCAATGGCACTAGAATCAAAGCAGAAGGATGGCCAATTCAACCAGATAGTTGAAAGAAATTGACTTTATGTAACAACTTTTCTCATTGACTTAAATTTACTGTCAAATCCACAATTGACATGTCTTGGGCTGCCATTTTGAATTACTTGAATTCTTTACTGTTCAATTAATACAATAGAATCGAAAATAAAATATAAGCTACCTCAAAAAGGCTGTTTCAAATTAGATTTTATCAAAAACAAAATTGCACAAGTAATGAAATAACCTGCAGTTATCATTTGTATGCCGTCATCATGGTGATGAGGATTAATGCACCAAAATCATTCATGAAGTTTCACAGAATTTTTGTTTATCTTAAATTTCTACATTTCTACAAGTTTTTTTGTACAATTTCTGTGTGTTATACATTAGGATAGTGATAACAGTACTGTAGTTGAACAGTTGCTGCAGTCAATTGAGATTAGACACTCACAAATAATGCTACTCTACGCATCCCCAGTAAAACTGTCTTTTAGAAATGTCAAATTGCCCAATTGATGGCGGCAACTCTTCAGCTTTAGTACTGCTATTCCTTAAATGAAAGGCACAAATACCAAAACAAGTTATATATTTCATGTGTTTATATACAGGTGAAGAAATTGAATTAAATCTACTTTAAATTCAGAAATTGTTGCGAGGTTTTTGTTATTGCGAATAATGAGTGAGTATTGCAATAATAAAAACTTGCATTCTGATATCTCAAATTGCAATAAACAGTATTGGATTTTTGTCTATACATCAAAAATCTCAATGATAAATGCACACAATTTCTGAATTTACTAGTATACAAAACATTTAGAAAATAGAGTATAAGTGACACATGTAGATTTCCCCATAGGTTTGGGTCGGGAGCAAAGATGGTACCATACATATTATCAATACGGAAACAAGAAAAGTAGTCAAACGTCTTCAGGCACATGATGATGCAGTCAGGGCTTTGTGTTGTGCTGAAAACAGATACATTATAAGCGGGGCAGGAAGTCGTGATGGACGTATTGCAATGTGGAGTTCTACAGACACAAAGACAGACTCAGGAAAATTTATACTAGATGAATAAATATATTTCATCCTTCATTTACAATGTAATATTTTCCACTCAAGATATCTTGATTTTCAATTTTCAACATGTTAAATTTAAGGTGCATATCAAAATTGAAATTTAACTATCAAATTGGAGAAGTATTGTAACTCAGGAGCAAATTGAGAGTGAAATTGTTACTTCCATTTGTATTTGAGTCTTTCAAATGTGAAAACTCTGTTTGGATAGGACAACAATGATAGTATTGGTAAGATTCTACCAATAGTGTGATGTCATAATGAAATTTTTTTTCATCAAAATCCAGAATTACACCAGTTTAGTACTGGTCACAATTTCAGCTGCTTATTGGTATAATTATACTGTACAACTTGACTGAGGACTATTTGAAAGCACTCAACAATATAGGCAGTGGAATTTGTTCACCCAAGAAAATTCATATTTCCCAAGGGCAATGTGATTTTTGGATGGTGATGAAATCTTCATATCACCCCAAGCCAAGGGAATAAATGTTATATTCCACTGCCTATACTTTTTTAACATAACAATAATTAATATACAATTTTTCTTATCGGTTGCTTTTATAACTCTACATGACATAAACGTTGATAAATAGCATAGATCAAAGTTAATGATTTGTTTTATGACATGATTTTATCTGTATTGTTTTACGTCTGAAATAATTTTGAACATGATGATGACTCAACTGTCAAAAAATGTACATTTACCATGTTTATGGTCAAATGTGTCTATGTGTTCAGAGGGGAATATGATAGTGGAAGTGGAATATGAAGTTTTGTTCAATGTCACATGGAATAGCCTCAACCAAAGAAATGTTGATTTTGCAATCAATATTTAGATACAATGGAATAATATATGATATGTGTTTATAAAGGTGCTATACATTTCATTATGCATGAAAATACTCGGAAACATATGAGTCTATTTTGACAGTCTTCTTGATTAACCACTTGCCCTAGGCCTATATGGATCAGGTCAGTAAAAAGTTTGTTGAGGTCATTAAAATTTTCATCATAATAATGATAATAATGGAGTAGAAAAAAGTTATTGTGACTATGTATAAGTGTCAAATATAATGTTAATTACCTCTTATGGATTTACTTGTAGAAATGGTATGGCATTTTTTAAGTGTGAATTGGAAAACTTTTTTACAACCTTTCACACTATAGACTTAAATCAGTTTTAATCTTTAGTTTCAGTATACAGCAGTTAATACTCCCCACCACTATGTTATTAACAGTCTAGATTATCACATTTTACATTTCAAGGATATTTTTACATCCTTTTCATTTTGTTATTTTTAATTGGAAATTTGCTTATGTTGTTGGCAGCATATATCAAGTTATTTTGTCTTTCATTGAGTCTTTAGTTTTTTTAAAGGGTACAAGAGTAAAAATATGAAAAAAAAACACTGCAATTATAAGTCACTCATATTCCATGCCTAAAAATGCCTTTGATATTTTTAAAAAAATGTTAAAATCCCAGTAAAAACCCTAAACTTCAAATTTTGATGACAGTGTTTTAAAAATTAAATTATTTCTGTTTGGCATTTCTAACCTCCCTGTCAGTTCCAGCATCAATAGAATAAACTACTGTCTGGTTTCTATACAGGGAAGCTTTCCAGAGGTCACAAGTAACATGGTTTCTTCATCTTTGTCCATACTGTCTTAGAAAAAAGACAATGATGGGAAAAATTCTAGTAAATCCTTAAAAAGTTTTATTTTAAAAAACAGTGGTAATTCAGAAATTTTTGTGATGGTTTGTTCTCACAAAAATTGCGACGCATTTTATATTTTGATAGCATTATTTGTTAGCAGCATTTTCTAAAATCACAAATATTTAACTCACATTTGTGTTCATTTTTCATCAATCTCAAGAATAAATGCAAGCAATAACTCTATAGATTGCAAGATTTTACAGTAATTGATCTATTGACAAAATTTCACTGGTTTTTATCAGTACTCTTGAAAGGCATGATATTTTTGGGTTTGTACCAGTTTGTATATGTTAAACTTTGTTTATCTCTACAAATACAAAAACAAAAATATTCAAAGAAGAAAAACAAAATTACATTCAACAATTTGCCCTTTTTTCTTTTAACAAAAATGATATTACAGAGGTTTTAGAACACACAGCAAATGCTATTGCCAATGATTAATATTTAATTTAGAATTGAAATAATTGTAAACCGCCAATAATTACAGATCAGTTAACATGGTTAACATAATTCCTTAACTTCTTTTATATATAACATAATATTTGGCCTTCTTTTACTTTAAGGGTCCCAACCCATTATAGAGCTTTACTAAACTGTCCTTAACCCTAAATCTTACAGTAAACCATACTATGTACCTTACCCTAACACAAACCCTTACCCTAACCTAGAACATCCTCTAACCTGATCTTAACCATAATTGAACCTTAACCCTAAAGCCTAAGTACCCCTAAGGTAAAAAAATGCCAAATAAATAGGTACATTTATATGTTGGTTTTTACTTGTTGCTTTATTCTTCCCGCTGTATTGTTTTCGTTTATGAAAATGTTGCATTATATATATATAAATATCATTAAAGTAAACTTTTCAATCTTGTTTAACTTAAAATAATGTAATTTATTATATGTTGTTAATCTATGTAATGATGTTAATGTTTAGAAAAAATAGATTGTTAATGATTTTAAATGATGTAAATGTATAAACAAAATGTTTTTTAAATTTGTTACGAATTTATGCAAATTTGTTACGAATTTATGCAAATGTGTTACTAATTTATGCAAATTTGTTACTAATTTATGCAAATTTATTACTAATTTATTCAAATTTGTTACTAATTTATGCATTTAATATTGTTGTTTTGATAAGACTTTACACTTGTTGTTACATTTTTCCTTGGATTTTATATTGATTTGTAAATATCTGTTATTTATGGAAGGCCAAAATTCCATATTCATTTTGAATTGGTATCATATATAAGTATCCATATTCATTGGTTATTGCTGTTAACTAGATAAAATTATTTTTATACCCATGCTCTGAAAGAGGGGGTATATCGTTTTACCCCTGTCTGTCCCTATGTCCGTCTGTCTGTCTCTCTCAGTTTCCGTTGCATTTTTCTCAGTAACTACAAATCATTATTTGTTATATGGTTTCATTTTAATTTTTAACATGCCCCCGCAGTAGTGGAGGGGGCATTAAGGTTTACCTTGTTTGTCCGAAATTGGTTTCTGTCCTCTAACTTTAGTTTGCCTCAACCAAATTTTATGAAACTTATACACAATGCTTATTTCCACAAAACACAGATCAAGATCAATGTTGGGTGGCATCACTTTAACAGTTATGTTGCTTTATAACGTTCTATGCAATCAGGGGCATCATCTGTGTCCCATGGACACATTCTCCATTTTTTCTACAACTTCAATATTTGCTGTTGTTTTATAAGACTAGTTGCAGCAACAAAAATGAATGATTTTCTTATATAAAGTGAATGAATTAAATCTTTTATTAGTCCCCTACTGACGAAGTCGAAGGGGACATTAGGTTTGCACTCTGTCCGTCTGTCCATCCGTCAGTCCGGCAACTCAGTTTTCTACACTTTTTTTCTTCGTTCTTGAAGATATTGATTTGATATTTGGTATACAGTTTTATCATGACAAGTTATAGATCAAGTTCGAATTTTGTTCCGGTCTGATGATTTAGTCCAGAGTTATGGTCCATAAAAAAACTCCATAACTAATGTTAGAGTAATATGTTAAACCATATATCTGTACAAAGGGAGATAACTCATTTTTTAAAAGACATTCTTTGGTAAATTGTTTGAGGAATTTTGTCGCATGTTTATATGTTATTTTGTATAAACTAATTTTCTGAATGCTACATGTATATATATATATATATTTTTTATTAAGTGAAATCCTTTAATTAGATAATAATCTATTTTTATTAAGGTATATATTTCATTACATTACATTGTGTAGATAAAAGTTGTTGACATTTTGAAACTGACATTATCAAGATGCTTGATTTCTTGATTGACAACATATTTGTTACGTTTGGAGGACGTGTTTTTCAACGGACTGTCGGAATTCCAATGGGAACCAATTGTGCCCCTCTTCTTGCCGACTTGTTTCTTTATTATGCTTCGTACAGGAACTTCTTAGGAAGAAAGATAAGAAGTAAGCAATATCCTTTAACTCTACGTTCTGCTATATAGATGATGTTCTCTCACTAAATAATATAAAATTTGGTGACTATGTTGAACAAATCTATCCCATCGAACTAGAGATAAAGGATACTACAGATACAGTTAAGTCTGCCTCATATCTTGACTTACATCTAGAAATTGACAATGAGGGTCGGTTGAAAAAAAAACTTTACGACAAAAGAGATGATTTCAGCTTCCCAATTGTGAACTTTCAATTTCTATGTAGCAACATTCCAGCAGCGCCTGCATACAGAGTATATATCTCCCAATTGATACGATATTCCCGGGCTTGAGTTTCCTATCATGATTTCCTTGATAGAGGATTGCTGCTCACAAGGAAGCTATAAAGCCAAGAGTTCCAAATGGTGAAGTTGAAATCATCCTTTCGTAAATTTTACGGACGCCATCACGAGTTGGTTGACCGTTATGGAATAACCGTTTCACAGATGATATCGGATATGTTCCTTATGTCGTAACTACAATACCCTTCCCTTTTCACGAATGTGACTTACCGAATTGGACTATTTACCGGATTTGTAATAACATAAGCAACACGACGGGTGCCACATGTGGAGCAGGATCTGCTAACCCTTCCGGAGCACCTGAGATCACCCCCAGTTTTTGGTGGGGTTCGTGTTGCTTAGTCTTTAGTTTTCTATGTTGTGTAATCTGTACTATTATTTGTCTGTTTGTCTTTTTATTTTTGGCCATGGCGTTGTCAGTTTGTTTTTCGATCTATGAGTTTGACTGTCCCTCTGGTATCTTTCGTCCCTCTTTTATAGATAAGTTACAAATCTATATTAGTTTGTGATAAATGAAAGAAAAAATATTTGGAACTATTAATTATATTTGATTGTAATTTGAAAATAGATATACATTGTATTACATCATATCTAATTTTAGAGAACTATTAATCGTATCTAATGTTAGAGTGTTATAGGTTTTCCACACTTTTT